TGAAATTAGGCACAGGCATGGGATACACTCCTGAATAGGACATAGGCTACTTTTTATTAACATACCATGCGGGCGAAGCCGCAAACGGAAACAATTAAATAATAATGTTTATAAAAAATATTTGATTGACATAAAAAAGGCGAAAATTACATTTGAAACCTTAACCGCTGAGCTAAAGCAGACCCTAATGACATGAGTCACTGTTTAAGGAACTCCCGTCAAGGAACACGTTTTATGAACACTTTACATGCAATAAAATATACCTACAAACATAGAAATACTTTAAAGATTGTTTAATTTATCACAGTGAAGAAACAGTTTATACATAGACATTAGTAAGGCTATTAGTAAAAGAATACCCTAGAATAAATTAAGTTACTTTTACGTTAGATGCTATACTGCTACTTTTTCGTTGCTACTTAAATACGTTTCCGAAGTCTAACTACAGAATAAATTACATCTACAAGTATTACAAATTGCTCCGAACTCCATTTAACATACATTACATTTCTTAAATAAACTGAAGGTATCAGTGACCCAGAGGATATAGGATAATTACCTACTCATAATTGAGAGAAACTGGAAGATATCTACATTCTAGCTTTTTCCCGCAAGTTATAAACTGAAGTATTTAGAAGTAATCAACGTCTTAGAAAATAATTATTTCACACGAATATAAGAAGAGAAAGAAAGAAAGAAAGAAAAAACATTTATTTGAGACTCGCACAGAAAATAAATACAATTACATTTTATATATACAAAAAGAAAAAACAAACCAAAAAAAACAACAACAAAAAAATATTAAAATAAAATAAAAGACCTGTGCGAGGTCAAAAAGGCCACTATCTCAGCATATGCTGCGATAATTCACCAGTATTCTGATAGGGCCTGGTGATGCCACGGACACACTCACGGAACACAATATCTACTTACCAACTGAACTTCAGTTTTATGTAACGTTAAATACTTTCACGAAAATAATTCATTAAATTCGTATTTATGTACAAGAATTATAATGCTAGTAGAAATTGTATAATAGATAGATAAATAAAATAAAACTGCTTGGTTCCGGTCAATTGTTGTACCATTTTATTTCAAATTTTACAACTTGATCGAACTGCCACGTTTTGCGCTGCCAATGATCGGTTAATTACGATGGCTGATAGACATAATTATTGAAAAGTTAAAATTCAAACTAAGCACAACAAAAACATATAATTTCTTTGACTTACCTGGTGATATAATCTATACTAATATTACGAAAAGGTAAAATTTGTAAGATGTAAGGACCACTTGTCGGATTTTCAAAATTGTCACTGATAGCTTCTTACAATGTTCCTGAGTGGTATAGGGTAAATTTTTGTCGAGTTATCGCTTTAAACGCTGCTGTTTTCTTTTATACGCGAGCAAAGCCGCAGTCGGAAGCTAGTTACTTATAATACCTGAGTATATTTTGTAACATTGTCATGTAAGTATGTGCCAGAACTCACTTATTTGTAAACCAGATTATGCCATCAAGGAATAAGCCCGCCAATGTATGTAGGTACCTATATTTCATACTTACGTGTATTTATATATATAAATAAATAACATGCGCGGTTTTCTCTCAAGTGTAGCGGGTCCGTGAGTCCGCGAGTCCGTGAGACCGTGGCTATTAGACTGTGGACATGGCAAACCGTTAGCGTTCTGCTTTACACTATATTACACGTCACTGCACCTGCACTATACTTGCAGCCACTGTTTGCTGCTAGCTAATGCACCCGTTTAATTTGTAAATATTAAATTACAACTATATTCTATGTAAGCACTAGCTGCTAGCTCCTGCTTCAGTCTTTTGTTTTGTTTTGTCGATATCAGTCTTTTGTTTTGTTAACAAACTGCCACGGCATTAAAAGGGTTTCTATTTCGTATACTTTTCGACAGTTTTCTTTAATGAAAACCTTCTCCCGACCTTAGTACGCATAGCAGAAAAATAATTATCAGATTCGATCTAGCTGTTTACGCGTGATGCCATGACTAAGGAAAATTAAGAGTCCTCCTCCTTAAGAATCCTTGGTTTGTTCCCGATTTGTTATGAATATTTTAATTTTTTTTATACGATGTAATAACGAGCGGTATTCCCGCCGTCAAACTGTCTTAACAGTTCGGTGGGTTTATATATTGTATAATTTTTTTTTATCATAGTTTTAAAAAAAATGTGTGCCAAATACTCTCGCCTAGAGTATGGCGAATGGGAGTGTCAGACTCTCACTGACTAACCTTCATCCTCTTGGTGCAGGTAACTTTTGCGCTTGACTTAATCATTTAAATAAATTATACAAGATGCATATGAATAGAAATAAAATAATGTAGGTATCACCAGTTTAAATACTTACATAGGTTCTTTTGCTAAATCTGCGCACCTTACCTACTTATACCTACATTTATCATAAGCGATAAGGTTAATGCAAATTTTAACAAATGATAGAGTAAAGAGGTTTAAATCTCTGACTTTTCCCACTACACGTGTAATTTACCGATTATCGAGAAAGTATCGAAATAGAATGATAGATTGGAAAAGTGGCAACCTTACATTATGTTAAGGTAATGATAGGAAGCCGGGTACTGGCAGTGAACTAGGATTTCCTTAAGATCTTGACATTTCAGACATGATTGATGTTAACTAATACTTTTGTTCAATAAAAAATAGTTTGTATGTAATAGTTAGTTGTATACGTTGCATGTAGGAAAAACAATACCATTTTTATAACCATACTTACAATACTTAAAATACGTTAAACCTCAACCGAGGCAAGAGGGATTGTCAGACTCTTTCTGTCTACAAACCACCCTGCTCCTCCTCCTGCTATGGGCCGTACAAAAGTACATTATTCCATTGACACACGCACTCCCGACTGGACAATACTATCCTAACAATGCCGTCAGAACCACGGCAATGGAGTAAAATTCGGGATGCATAAGAACTAAAACTATTTATTCTAATAAACTATAGTACGGTGCTATATTACCGAAAACAATAGCTAAGATACATACCATAGATAGCAAGTTTACTTACGAAGTTTGCAGAGCCACTTAGTGCTGGCCCTGCAAAGTAAGTATTGAATATACCTTTTGTCTGGGACTGTGTGAAAATAATCTATCTGGTATTACAATCTAACCTGTATGAACTCCTTGTTATTAATAGACATTCTATCGGAAAGGTACCAACAGAGCTATGTACCTACTAGGAGGTACATCTAGCTTCAAGGTACTTACACCGGTCTTATGCTGAGGCAAGTTTCTTTAATGGGCAGAGTTAACATTTAAGTAAACGGAGATAGGCGTTCCTTAACAATAATACAATTATTGTACCTACATACAACTGTATCTAGTTAATCCACCTAATACAAAAGAAAAATGTTCGTAAATAAATACGTTTTCAATTTTAAAAATATTTTTACATATTATAGAACGGCACACGGGCAAACAAGTTGACGTCGATTATCTAATGATTAGCAATGGACACCCGCAACTCCAGAAGAGTTACCTACGAGTGCGTTGCTGGCTTTTTAGGGTTTTTTTTGTGAGTGGAAAATCATCAAATGACTTCTCCCGCCCAGGGCCGGGCGAGATGGAGTGTCAGACTTATACTAACTAAACCCCCCCCCCCCCCCCCCCCGTTCCTTGTCCTGCTCTGGGCCGAGGTCGCGGTGCCTCATTGCGCTTACCCCGCAACCCTGGCTGAACATCAGCCCTATAGGGCCCCGTCTGTGGTGGTCTATTGGCTCTTTGAAGCGCGCGCGGAACGCTACGCGCCGTACGCTCGGGGGCTTTTTGGGGATTAGGCATAGATTAGAGGAAGGGAAAGAAAAGAGTTTAGGTATGCATAGGATGGTGATTAGGATTAAATAATATATTTGTACGGTATACCGATGGAATCTTTTGTTAGAAATAAACATAGGTATTATTCTTATATTCTTAGGTATGTCTACGACAGGCAAATTGATGTCAATGCTTCCGCGAAAAAAGTAGATGTAGCCGACTACTTCCTCGTTAGATAGAAATGTGTACCGACTGCCTAGTGTACTAAAATAAATAATAAATCTTAAAATATTAAAAACTTAGGACCATTAAATATACTTACATTCTGTCTACCTACGATATCGCTAATGACGCGACAAAGTGTTGCGTGCTGTTACGCTTGAAAGCCGTTTCACGCGAATTTTCCTAAGAGAATTATGAATAATAAGTTTTTCATTAGATTCAGACGTTTGCCGGATTCTTAATGTCAACGATAACACATAGTTTCAGTAGTCAGTAAACAGTTAATGCCCTCGCTTAGTTAAATCGATGCTAATGATCTTTCTTGTTAGAAAAGATTTTTTGTTCATAACCACGCGTGACAATGATCATTAAAATCGGTATAAGAAATGACGCGACAAATTGCTATAAGTTGCATGATTTTAAAATCTATTTATGAGTGGAAAAAACAAAAATGTGTTATTAACATACAGTACACTATTTACCTAAAACAAATGTAAATCATCTGTTTAAAGGATTTAGACTCCATATTATTTCCTTCTGAAAGAGATAGGTGCCTAAAGAAAACAGAAAATGATAAGTACTTATGTATGTTGTTTTCTCGTGTTTTTTCGGTCGGTATAAGTACCTATACCAAAATTAAATAAGTAGGTACTTATTTTTCTTTATACCTAATCTTGGACAATTGTATCAAGTATCTTTCAGTTTCATGTTAAATATAAATACATATATGAGTCGTTTTCGCGCGCATCCAACCGAGACAGTTTCACTGCAAACATTTGTGCACGTAAGTACCTGAGATATGTAAGCACGTTGATAATCAACGGGTGAAGTGATTGCATACATTATAAATAGGAAAATACAGAAGAAAAAAGAAGTAACTCATTGGCACTTTGGTCCATTAATCAACTATCTACAAGGAAATCATAAAACACATTCACATGAGTGTTTAAGTGTGGGAGAGCCATGCTTCGGCACGAATGGATCGGCTCGACCGGAGTTATACCACGGCCTCACAGAAAACCGGCGTGAAACAACCACAACGTTGTGTTTCGCCGTGTGAGTGAGGTTACCGGAGGCCCAATCCCTTCCCAATCCCTAAATCCCCAAAAACCCAATCCCTAAAAGGTCGGCAACGCACTCCTTCTTTGTTGTGGGTGTCCATGGGCGACGCTGATTGCTTACCATCAGGTAATCCGTCTGCTCGTTTACCGTCCTATCAAATAATAAAAAAAACATGATTTGACAGGTTCTTACTTTGGTCAAGGAGCGGTTTTATTTTTATCCTCAATAGATGGCGCTAGTGAGGTATAAGGCTCTGGCATTGTGTCTGTTGCGAACGATTGGATATTTATTTACGTCCAAATAAACCAAAAGTACTGAATTCTCTTTGTAAGTAGTAGGTTAGTGAGTCTTCTACTAGTTACTAATAATTTTATAAATGTACCTAATACCTAATTGAAGTAACCGCTACTATTCGTGTTGCGGGTTCAAAGCCTGGCAAGTATCAACTTATAGGGAGTTACTTATATGTACTTACTTTCTAAGTTTGTAAATATCTACAGTCACCTTTATCAAAAGCGAAGGAATCATGACGAAATCAGGACTTTTAGAATTAGGTAGGTAGTAGGTAAGTAATCATAAGATTGAAATTAGGTAATATTTAAGTGTGCTTCGGCACGAATGTGTCGGCTCGACCGGATTGATACCACGGCCTCACAGAAAACCGGCGGCGTGAAGGAAGAACACACTTACGTTGTGTTTCGCCTTGTAAGTGAGGTTACTGGAGGCCCAATCCTTCCCCGCCCCCAATCTCGAAATTCTCAATACCCTAATCCTATTGTTGCGGGTCCTGTTGTTATCTATGTGCGGCGCTGATTGCTTACCATCAGGTAATTAGCCTGGTCGGTTGCCGTCCTATCACATTCATAAAAAAACTAAATCGCATTAAGCAAGCATGGGGCTATGCGTCGCCTCCGGTGAGGCGATGTAATATATAGCTTTAGTTACTGCTACTTATCAAGTAAACGTTTACTGGGAACAATTTTCACGTCTTGTAACTTGTAAATAACCGGCCCGGCCACCGGACATCTTTCCCCGGTGCCTCACTTATACGGAATGTCGACTTGTAACTGAGTAATTGCGTACCTATATTTATAATACATAGGTACACATATGCGTGGTAGGTCCAACACAATGTATGTTCTATGTAAATGCACGGCAAAAACCCAGGCGCTTAGGTACCTACCTACTTACTTATAAAATTATAGGTAAATTAAGCTTAAAAATAAAATCGTAAGTAGGTAATGCTGGTGGTCTGAACAAATCTGTTCTATTAATTTACCCACTATGAAAATGAGCTACGTAATAGAAAGCCTAGATTACATAATAAATAAAATCTGATAAAAAAACTGGTTAAAAGTGACTGGAACTTGCGCACGAAGGGTGTATGAGTATCTACATATATTTTTCTACCTATCTCATAAAGATAAAGATAAAGATAAATTTATTCGCAAATATGGGTACAATACAGGTGATAGAGATACATTTTCGTGGTTCAGCCATACTTTGCCAAGAAGGCATGCAAATTTTAACACACACAGAATTTAAGTTTTAATAGAAAAATTATAAACAAATTAAATTAAACAGTTAAAAAGATTAAGTTAAATTAAAAAGATTAAGTTAAATTAAAAAGATTAAGTTGTAATAGAAAAACAATAGACAAACTAAATTAAAAATTAATAATGATAACAGGCATCTTGGTAGTTACATACACAAGGATTTCAAAATTATTATCTATTATCAATCCGATCTGATTACAATAACTCTATACAACAAAATCGTTCTCATGCAAAAAATCACTTATACTATAATATGTTTTATTCAACAGAAATTTTCGAATCGTCTTTTTAAATTTCAATATGGGCAATTCTTTCCAGTGTTTAGGTATTTTATTATAAATAACCGGCGCCATGCAGTACTTTTGCGCATAAGTGCTGTTTTAGCTGTTTGTAGACACAGTAAACTATTGTTGCGCCTATTCCGTGGGAAGTTATCGGAAAGGAGTTGAAATTTAGTCGGGTTTGATTTGACAAATAACGCTACTTCTAGTATGTACAGACAGGGTAGGGGTAAAATGTTGTTTTGAAATATGGCAAGCAACTCTCGGTGGTTTGCAGTTTAAAGATAGCTCTTATACATCTTTTTTGTGCTTTAAATGCTGTTTCTCTTCCCGAAGAGTTACCCCAAAAAATAATACCGTACCGTAGGTGCGATTCCACTAGGCCATAATAAGCCGTGAGAAGCGCATCTATATATACTACTGATGATAGTGTGTGCAAAGCGTATGCGGACTTACAAATTTTTTTAAATAAAGAGTCAATGTGCGATTCCCAATTTAGGTTTTGATCTATTATGAGTCCCAGGAATTTAGTATTTACTACTTCTTCTATTATATTATTACCGTGCTGAATGTTAATAGCAATGCTAGGAGTACGCTGTCTAAAATGTATAGCTTTCGTTTTAGTCAAATTAATTTTTAAATTATTAGAGTCTAACCAGTTCACAATTTGTTCTAAACTATTATTAATGTCACTTCTATATGTTTCTATATTTTCACAAGGTATTGTTATTGTGCTATCGTCTGCAAACAATGTTACTGGTTGTTTAATACATTTCGGTAAGTCATTTCGGAAAAAAAATTGTAGATAGAAAAGAGTACCCTAAAGTTCTCGCATAGGACGTAGATAGGCCTTGGAATAATACTTATACCTACCTAATGTCTTGATGACATTGTCTCTCTGTCCTCAGGTGTACCTGGTGTACCTGGCGCTTTGCTCCCTGTCCCAAGCTGTGTACATCAAACGAATGGCCACAGTGAACAGGATGCGAGTGCCCACAGCCTTCCGACCGGGAGTCAACTTGCAGAGACCGTGGGTTCACAACAGACTCGTCCAAGCAGCCTCACATCGAGCCCCTTATGTGCTTTACCGAAAATCTCCACAGAGGTAATAAATAAAAAGTTTCTTCTTATAAGATACGTAAAGTTCTTTTTTCCGAGATAACTTTCAAAGCTTCAAGAAACGATTGTACTTCTTCTTAAAAGGCCGTCAACCCACTCGTGACACCGCGGGTGTTGCGGATGTCCATAGATGGCGCTCAAAGAGTATATAAACACTACCTACATTACATTCTAACGGCGCTACACTGACAAAATTGTTACCTATTAAAAGAAAACCTATCATAATATTATTTGCGGGAGGAAACGCCGAGTGTCGTCATTGTGAGGACCACCTAGAGGATACGGTGGAGCATACGGTAGCGGTATGCCCTGCCTGGGCTGAGCACCGCCGTATCCTCAGGGAAGTGATCAGCGGCGGCGACCTCTCGCGCCCGGCCTTAGTCGAGGCCATGGTGCGGAGTGAGAGGAACTGGGACGCCGTCTCCTCCTTTTGTGAAGCAGTCTTGGTCGCAAAGAGAGAGGCGGCCCGCGTGAGGGAGCAATCCTCCTCCTCACGCCCCAGCAGCCGCAACTGGCGACACTACGGGCGTCGGGGATCGAGGGACGATCTCCGGCCACCGTAAGCACGGGCCTGCGGTCGGCGAGTAAGGGCAGCTCGCCGCCCGACCAGAACCAGGCCCGAGCGTACGGCGCGTAGCGTTCCGCGCGCGCCTCAAAGAGCCATTCGATCACCACAGACGGGCCCCTAAAGGGCTAATGTTCAGCCGGGGTTGCGGGGTAAGCGCAATGAGGTACCGCGACCTCGGCACAGAGCAGGAGAAGGAACAGGGGGGTTTTTAGTCAGTAAGAGTCTGACACTCCCTTCTGCCCGGCCCAGGGCGGGAGAAGTCATTTGATGATTTTCCCCACACAAAAAAAAAAATCATAATATTATTTGCTCTGCAAATATTTGTGCTTTTTTACGGGAATTAATCCCATCAATATCAAAATCATTATTTTGGGTAATTTCGTATTTAAAACTTACTACTCTACATGAAATATTCTGCCAGTACATATAACACCTACGAATAACAAGGTCCACATCTTCAGATACGCAGTGAAGCACTTCGCACCGTCATCAACCCGCAACATGTTCGCGGGCGGTCCTTGGAAGACCACAGTCAGACTGCCTGTGTCGCCGGTTACTCCAGAATATGAGTTCGTAAAGGCGGCCTCCTCCGCGCCCGTGGTGCACACTGACGGTGGTACAGGTTGACTAGCTAACGTGCACTGCACTGTTCTTTTACTTTGCATGACGTTCTTACATAGCCTATATCCTACTTTCATATTTTTTGTGGTTCCTTAAAGGTGGGATCTTATGTATGTTTTTTTTCGGTCCTTTCCCAACTACGATGATTATATAAAATTTCTGTGTATAGCATTTTTTTCTGCTTATTTCTTTTTTGTTTTTATTGTGGCATTTATTGTTGTAAATGGTTTTTGCTTGGACTCCGTGCACTAAACGCACAAAGTTAAAGTACTTACAAATCGCCCACAGCAAAAGGTTACGTTACAAGAGTTTAAAGCAAACGGTTATCTTAAGGCGAATCTCATCAGTTATTGTATTAAATAATTCGACTTGTGACGTAACTAAAGCTGTGGTCGAAAGCATTTTGGTTCAGGCGTGTGTGACCAGCAGGTGCGATCCACACAATACCAGCACCAAATCTCAGCCTGTCAGAGAAGCCAATTGTGGTCATAGAATCGTCCGACAATCCTGTTTCGGAACTGGTGAGTACCACATACTTTTTGTAAAATCTTTTTGTTTTGTTAAGTAGACAGCAGTGAGCATCGATAATTGTGGTGATAATAATAACAAATTCCACTTTGACAATCAAATCCTCCAACAAAATAAAAACCTCCATGGCACATCGATATGCCCGAGGGCTTCCAAATTGGTTAATGGTTAGTGCCGTTACTCTTGTCTACAGCTCATTGCACAATCGGTAATCAGTGGTGAAATTTATACCTATCTATGCCAAATTTCCTTGTGGTTAAGTTACCGACGTACATACTCTAAGCTAATAATATTTTCTATATTTCAGCCCCGACCGACTTATGAAGTCACAGAAAAGTACCCAGAGAATGAATATGGTGTGGCGAAAATAGAATCACCTGTAGGGTTTTCCAAATCTACAGTAAGTAATTATTTCATAACAATTTTATAAGCTATCAAGTGTTTATTTAAATCATGATATTATTTTTCAGTCCTTCACCACTCCAGAACTGCAGACGTTGATAAGAAACGGAGCGGCATTACAATTAGCATCTGAGTTTTCCTTGCCAGCTATTAGCATTAATCAACACCAACCTCTACACCATCAGTATCCATTGCAGGTGATTGCTACAGTATTTAGCTTTTACGACAAGCAATGTACCTACAACATAGCCTGTATTTCTCGAAATTTACAAAACAATGATTTTCATTTGATTTTAGGGGTCTCACTCACTGCCCACGCCACAAGACGTGATAAATACCGGAGCGGACGGTTTATTCATACCACCACACGCCTTGTATCAAAATGATCCATTGTTCTTACAAAAACTTCAAAGCCAACTGCTCCAGCGTTTCCCGTCAGTGGAATTTATACCATACGCGGCTGAAGCACCAAAACAAGCTCTGCAGCCAGAGGCTTCTCAGATTCACACTCAAGTGGTGCATCCTCAAATGATCCAGCCCCAACTAGTTCATACGCAAATAATTCATCCACAAGAACTTCATCCCCAAATGATTCTGCTGAAAAATGAACAACTGGACAAACCATTACCACAACACAGTGAACCTAAGACCGTGGTTCAGAGAGAGACACAGGAAAACACAGTTGTTACTTTTTTGCCACAACCGTTTTCTGTTGCCAATACAACAGAAAAGCAAGCGGAGAGTACTTCGCCCCCCGAGCCAGAGAATATCACATTGGAACTTGTAGCCTCGGAAACCCAACCACCAACGACTACAGTAAAATACATCATTGAGACAAACACTGAAGAACAAAACACGACTCCCATCTACTACGCACAAGTGGGACAAAGTGTGGGTAGTGTCATAGCTAATGGCTTTTACTCGGCCATTAACGACGTGAGAGCTGCAGCAGCTTTAGCTCAAGTTGACCAATCGCCAGTGTATAAGCCTACCGAGAATGTTACTACTATTACTACCACTACCATCGCCCCCGATTTAAAACCGTATTTTGTCAAAAACGATGACAAGTCTGAGAATAAAACACAGAGTGCTGAACTCAAACCACTGCTGGGAGTCCCATTTACAAAATCAACAGATTCTGTTAAAGTAGCTTATACTTTAGTGAGAGCGGAAGATAATCAACCTAAAGTGAATCCAGAAGGGGCTGTGTACGCAGGACAAATCGTAGAAGCCACGATAACTGAGGACCAAGATTTTAATAAAGAAAAAGCCAGTTTGATATCTCGGAGAGCACCTATAAGACTATTAGCTGTAGACACTAAAAATATAGCAAGTTCGGCTAATACTTTACCACGTGTTGCTGTGGTTAAAGCAAAGATACCACCAAAGAGCAAGTTAACATTTGATGACAAGACCGGAGAGCCTATCTTAAGAATATATGCCAGTTATGTAGACAACCCTAAACAGGTGAGTGCATAAAATCACGAGGTTACATTTTATGAACGAAATATAAAATAGTAGATAAATAAATGAACCTATATTTTCAGAAAGACGCTGTAGTATCGAAATTAACAAATCTAAAGCAAGCAAAAGATGCTGCATCGAGGAAAGAAGCTGTGGACAATTGGAAGGCGGCGACCGTGAAATCAGCCGATACTACGCAAGGAGTAGACAGTAACCACGTAACACAGTTTGGACTTAAGCTAAGAGAAAGAAATGATTACTACGAACCATTTTTCGAAGACTATGAAGAGTTGTGAATAGTTTAAGGCACAAAAAATTTACAATAAAATGCTTCATTGCTCAGTAAGGAGCATAATGAGAAGCCAATGTCGTTTTTAATTAACTTGCGATTTCTGTTTGAACGAACTTACGAATATTTTATTTGAAAATACTTGATATTAAAACTTAGCCTAAGGTTGGCCCAAGCGAAGCCTATAAATTTTCAGATCGTAGAATGTATTTATGCAGTAAATAATTTATTAAAGTTTGGATTTAAATGTTAATTAACTTCAAAGCAGTCCCAGGTGCATTTAATTGTACGATAAATAACATACGATAATGTATATCACAAAACATGAATAAAGAATATAATTAGAATGTTCAAATAAAGATCCTCTCAACATACACAGTTAAACTAAACTATTTTTGCATGGTGAACTAATCTCTTTTTGAAAAAAAAATGTATGTAAACAAATATTGAGGATATTTAAATGTATGGCAATAATTTAAATTTAACACTTCAGCACCTCAAATAAGGTAGAATTAATATTTCATGAAGATAAAATGTTGTGTATTTATAAATTTGTGTAAATATGCATTTTTTTTCTATATAGATAGTTAGTAACTAGGTAACTAGTTATACTTTAAGTTGTTGTATAATTGTAATTTGAATGATGGTGCTAAGTGTTTACTTGTATTTAATGGCGATTGAGAAGATACATAAGCATTTCTTCGAACAATATATGTTTAAAATTGACTTGATTATGAAAACATTTGTGATCTATATAAATTAGTACTGGAATCAAATTATTTTTAAGATTTTATCAAAAAGTATTAAGCACTTTAGTAATAATTATTTATAGAAGAACATTTGTCCCTTGAGTAAAATGCATTTAGAATTGTATAATTTATAATAAAAGCCAAATTATTTTTCAATTAAAACCACAAAACATTGTCTTTAATTGTTTTTATTTTTTATGTCTATTACAATTTACAAAATTCTATTTTTATTTAACTTTATTGTTGTATAGTTTAACGACGTCTTCCGTCTGTTCCTGGCTTTAATAATTATTACATAATATTGTAAATACGCAAACAATGACAAGAACATTAGTAGGGATTTAAAATAAAAAAGTTGTAGAGTAATATTAATATGTACAAATAATAATTTGCATTGCAATTTCATTAAAATCAATTTCTAGTGTTTTGTTTGTATGTTCTGAATTGCAGCATATAATGGCATGCATTTGGCTATATTAGGTGTTTAGACAGTAAATGAGCAGCTTTATTTCAACATATTTCACCAATTAATTAACACATAATAGCAATGAGTAAGCTAAAATAATTTCTTACAAATAAAACAAAGCATACTCTTGAAAAATAGCCCAAAATCTGTACAAAATAACTTATAGAAAACCCTCTTGAGGAATATTATGATCTGAGATATGAATAATGGCATAATTTTAGAAACATTATGTTAAGATAAAGCACCACACTATATAATAATCAGCATAACCATTAATCATAGAGGAAATTAATTTGTGCATGGCAACATGTATTCATTCACCCAAAACATTTTAAAATAGGACATATCAATCAGGATGCACAAATAAGAAAATGGTTATTGTCCCAACTTGGCTGTATGTTTTTATATTTTATGTCAATTTCCATAATTCATATCTTAAATCATAAATTTACGAAAACACTTCAATATGAACAGTTCCTAATTCATTATTTTTAACTAACCTACATTATGCTTCCACTGAGGCAGATATCTTTTATTTATATTGGATACATGTTTAAATAGTAAGCCAATTACCATTAGAGAAGTTTTAAATTGTCATAATATTCCACTTCAGGGTGGTTCACAAATTGAAACTACAAAGGTAAATTTGTAAATGCTTATAAAGTTCAAATAGAACTCCTCCTTAAAATCTGATGCAATCTGTCAGTTTAGGTCTTTCATGAAAAACCTTCCAGATTAAAGCTCCACTCTGGCAGTCTATTCAGTATTTTCCAATGACCCTTTTATTAAGTTTATACATATACTATAATAGGCATATTTTCACCTCAGTGGATGAGTAGTGATGTGGTCCCTAGGACTTGGCATTGAGTTTCTCTAGTTGGTCCATGAACCATGGTCGGCCTGTTGAACGCTGTGTCAAGATGTCGCAACCTGTCTCCGTCACCAGAAGAGTTTGTTCAAACTAAAAATAAAATAACATTTTTAACATTAATCTTACTCGATAAATGCAGCATTAATTAAACTAGGGTAAGTCTTAACCAATGTCAATTCTCAACAAGCATTCAAAAAGCAATTGAAAATCTATTCTCAAAGTTTTAAGATAAGGAAAAATTACTAGAGGAATTTTATACATACTTGAGCCGAGCGAGAACCATCAGCGGTGACTGCGGTCCAATGGTCTGGCCACTGCTCATCACGCCACCCTCCTTCATTGATCATTGGCTCAATAGTGAAGCAGTGTCCTGGTTTCATCACACCAATAGCTTTGTTTTCTGAAAAATATTAGTGTGGCACTGAAATTTTTTCCACCTTCAAATCCATATTTCACCAGCTATATATTATGAGTCTTACATGATGTTATGTTGTAGATTGTGAGCCTATTTATTTTAATTAAATCATTAATGTGGGACATTAACCCCTTATATGCTGGAGTGCAGATCTAAACAAGACAATGTGTTTTCTAGATGTGTCTCATAGACTATCTCACAGACTAGGATAAATATTTTAATATTAAATTTTACTAAGTAAATACATAGCCTAGGTAAGAAGCATTTCTCTAATAGTAGTCATGGGGAGCCAATGGATCCTAAAGGACAGTTTATTTTATTTTTATAGTTATAGTTGGCTTTGGAGGCTATTATAGTTATAGTTGGCTTTGGAGGCTAAGGAAGAGGCCTTTGCCCAACAGTGGACACCTTTCGGCTGGTGATGATGTACAATAAAATGGTAGACATATAATATGGTAACTTACTGGCATAGTGTGGCACGTTGGGTGTAGTATGGAATAACCTGTGTATACCATGTCCACAGTATGAGCGCACAACACTAAGTCCATTTGCCTGAGCATGCTTCTGAATCACATTTCCAATCTCCCTGTATTTCTCACCAGGCTTCACTATCTCGATAGCTTTAGCTAAGCATTCATATGTGACTTGCACAAGTTTCCGGCTAGACTCTGGCACATTACCAACAAAGAAAGTCTCATTGAGATCACCGTGGAATTCTCGGTGATATACTGTCACATCTACATTGCAGATATCACCATCCTGCAATCAAATGTAAATTTTTCTTAAGAATAAAACAAGGCAATAACAAGAGTGCCCAGTGATTGGTTGAATAGTTTGGAGCAGGCCAATCAGAGCACTAAACAGGACAATAACACTCATGCACAGCAAATACACACACTAAGAATGAAATTATGTTGCTCTTTGTATGGTTTGGTATACATGAAATCAATAATCAACCTGAACACATTCAATTGACACAATATATGATCACAGTATGTTGGATGATAATATGCTCCTGGAAGGAAAATTAACCACTTGTTGTCAAGTTATAAAACATAAAACAAAATCATTCATGATAATGTCTGTGAACAAGAATTGTTTTATTTTTATAAGGTTGATAAACCCATTGCATTTACATGAGGTCATTTGCTAAAACCACAACACAACCACCCACAATTTATAAATAACTTGTAAAAAATATGATTATATGTAGTTGTAAAAAAATCCAAATAGATAAATTATAATACTGAGTGAATATTTAAAAAAGCAGTTTCAATTTAGATTAATAAGAAACATAAGAAACATCACAATACATAAGAAACATCAGACAACTTAGAACTAAGAAAACTGCAAGATGATGATCATTCTATGAAACTAAAAGCAAGTCAACATACCTCTAAGGGGCGAAGATCAGGTATACCGTGGCAGATGACCTCATTAACAGATGTGCAGCAGCTATTAGGGAAGTTGTGATAGTTTAGAGGGCTCGGGTAGCACTCCCGTTCTATGCAGGCCTCATGCACAATGCGATCTATTTCATCTGTAGTTACCCCCACATCACACACTCTGGAATTAATACAATATATCATTTCAGTTTCTCACATAATATTCTCAGAAATAAAATTCTTATTTGAAAGTTACAAGATATAATTAATCCAGATGGAATCATATTGCATTCAATGTAAATTACAATTTAAATTAGTTAAATTTTAATGGGAATTTTCGAGACTTAAAATTCTAGTATACAAATATTAAATACTGCGAGAGCCTAAGAATAAATAAACAGAACAAACCTGGCAGCCTCATCGAGCACCTCTCTTCCAAGGCGACAAGCTACACGCATACCCTCAATTTCCTCATCGTCAAGCACTTTAATCTGACCCGAGCCCTTTACAGCATTCTCAGATGCAGGAAAGCCTGTCGGATGATCGGCATAGTCCGGGCGGCCTATGTGTGGTGGTACTGTGCGTTTCGGTCCCGGCGGGAACGGTCTCAACTTCCCAGTGAAACTGAATGACGGCCAGGGGTTATACTCCACACTGGATGCATCTGTACTCTCACCCTCTAAAACAAAATTCACATTGTCATAACGACTTGTAACCTAATACCGTAACATAACCTACAAGGCACTTACTCGCCAACGAGTGGATTATTTTGTGATTCTTCCAAGACTTCTTAAAACAGTCTTGATTACAAAAAAACGAGCCTTGTATTCCCAGTTTTAAGCATGTTGGACACTGCAATTGTGCAATAGATTTGCAGCCGGGAGTTTCACACATTCCAATCGCCGCCATTTTTTTAGAACAACTGTCAATTTCAATTGCTGTCATTTTTGACAAACCATTTGTAATGACATGACGTTTTTTTTTTGGAGTTTATGGCTAATGACATGACGTATGTTGTGTGAATGTTGCTATTACCAATATTCCTCATCGTTATTCATCATCAATTTAGAAGTGCCCGCAGTCACTTCTAAGAAAAGACCTCCTCTCGTACGGAGAAGGTTTGAATAAATCACTACGCTTGCTCAGGCGGATTGGGGATTTTAAACTAGAAAAGACCTGGTTTCAGTCAGTAAGTAGTTTTGGAGGAGGAGTTTCTTCACGGTGTTTCCTTCACCGTTTGTCTGTGGTGCCAACATAATGACTAAATAAATAATTAAAGGCAACAAAAACAGATTGAAAAAACCGGTAGTTTCATAATAAAAAGTTCTTATTCTACTTGTTGTTTGAGAAGTTTGTTAATTATTACGGATAATCAATGAATTTACCATCAAAGTATGTTTCATACATAGGTAAGGTAACCTTAGATATGAACTCCACGTCAACCATGGTTATTTTTCTTCTAAATAGACTCTGTAAAACGGAACTAAGTTTATAAATGGTGAAAGTTTATTTAAGTATTTTATTCCCTCCATCGTAAACAAAAATACCTAAATCTACCGTGCAAAAATAAATGTACTTAAAGTGCCTAAATTAATTCATTCGGGAAGGTAGGTACTCACGTAATGTTTTACGTATGTGGTTTAACCACCCGTTCTTTAGATCCCACGATCGAATTATGGCGTTCCTGGCCTGAATGTATAGCCAATCACACTTAAAAATATAAAATTTACTGTCCATCGCACAGCACTCGAACAATACAAAAAACAAACAAAAAGTTAATAGTACTTATTATTTTAGCTAAATCAATCAACGCAACCAAGTAAAATTTAAAATATAATCTTGTGGAACACTACCTACAACTTAATGCTTTTTATAAAAAAATGTTTAATACATCGCTTGATACGCGTTACGATTGACGTTGAGTTTTCTTTTAAAACTACGTGTTCTATTTTTAAATCGTTTATTTTCTTCCAGCGCTGTCCAGCGTAGGTAGTGATACCAGTCGCACTCCATAGCAAATAATTTTATTGCCGCTGTGGATACGTTCCATACTTGATTGAAAGAGTTCGCCACAAAAAGTTCCCATCTGGAGAAAGCAAAAAGAACCACTGCATTTTTTACAACGTTATGATCCGTTTTTACATGTCATGTTTGTAGAATAAAAACTTAGCTACTTATCTACATAGGTCGGTATTTAAGTACGATTACGCTGACGTGATTTTTACTTAGGTATCTGCTTTTTTTTGTGTGGTGAAAATTATTCAGTGACGTCCCCTACCCTTTTTCCTTTAGAAAAAGGAAATGTCGAACTCTTACTGATTAAAAACACCCTCTTCCATCTGTTCCGAGCCGGAAGATTATTGCGCTTGCACTCACAACCCCGGCAGGGTGTTATATTGACAAAGGTAGAGTAGGTACCTATGTAGTTAAAAGTTTAACGAACTTTAAGGCAGGTAAAAGTGTACCTTCTCTATAAAATTAGGGTAGTGTTTACCGTAAAGCGGTTCGTTTAAGTAGCTGGGCTAAAATAAGGTTGTTTACGTCTTTCAAGATAAAACAAAACAGCTAGTTAGTATTTATATACATAAGTAAGTATTTAAAAATAAGGGCAGCCGGCTAGTGAAATAAAAACACTGAAATATTTTAGTCACGCAAAATAAGGAACATAATTAGGTATTGTTTACTAGATTGTTCATACCATGATAGTACTTTGATTAACTGCGACAGCACGAAAGATCCTACCTATATAGAGATACCAATGTATTTTTAATTTTTACTAATACATAAATACTTTTTTTTTAAGTGGTAGGTCGGCAAATGGTCTAACGGATTACCTGATGGTAATCGCCGATGGATGGATGGAAGACGCTTGGATGGATTAGGGATTTGGAGATTTTAGGGTTGGGGAGGGATTGGGGGAGGGGAATGATTGGACCCCCGGTAAACTCACTCACACGGCCAAACACAACGCTGTGGTTGTTTCACGCCGCTTTTCTGTGAGGCCGTGGTATCAGTCCGGTCGAGCCCACCCATTCGAGTCGAAGCATGACTCTCCCACACTTAAGGTAACTTCTATCTTAGGTATGTTACATAGGTAGGTACAACTTATACGAGTATCTATGAAAAAATCTTAATATGGTCATATAGTTTACTCTTGGGATGCTGGGGCCATTTTGTATTAAGTAGTTTGTTTTAAAAGTTACCTGTAATGGCTTAAATAATAGTTCAATGGCCACAGATATAATTTATTGTACAAAAAAAGAAAGAACAACAAAAAAGGAAAAAAATATGGGTTTTATTTTCTAGCGAGGTGATTAAGACAACATTAAAACAGAATCAATTCAGTAATCGCCCTTGAGGTTTTTAGCGGAGTTGTTGCCCAAGCTTCATTTATACTCGGGAATTACGCATAAAGCCGATTAATTGTTAAAAGGCGAGGCAAATGAACCCAAATTAATTTAATTTTCACAGAAAACGTCGATACAATTTAGTCGCTAAAATTGGGCGAGGTATTTAATTAATAGTTCTGTCGTTTCTGTTTTTAAACGGTCTGCCTCGAAAAGTTTCGGTGTAATTCTGGTAAACCAATATTTTACTTGATATTTTTTACGTTTCGGTATTTGCGTTTAAAAATAAACAGTTTGTTTGAAAAAATAGTATTTAGGTACTTACTGCCAAAATCGTTGTAGGTACATATAAATACATACCAAGTGAGTATTTTTTTAGGTTTTTAAATGTTTATTTAAAGCTTTTAATTTTTGAACGTTTATTACCAGGCAACCATATATAAGTACCTACTATCTAGGTTATTCCACTTAAACTTTCAATTGTGGTACCTAATTCGAAATACAATAGAAGAACAATAGGTGCGCGAACGCTGGCGTGCGTTCGGTTGAGGTTTGATGAATAAATAAATGTTTTTAAAACTGTTCAGGTTTTGTAGTTAATTTTGCGAATAGGAAATAAAAATGTACTCATACGTTATATTGATAAGTAGTTAGGTAAAAACAACAATATAGAATTCAGTGGGGCGCAATTGGGGAGGCCTATGCTGATGATGAATCAACATTTAACAAATTATTTAAATTAAATAAATCTGAATGTATTTAGACTTTAGGTACTCAAAGGTCGGCGACAGAAATAAACACTATTATCCATACAAATCGTGAAGATTAGGTACAATACAAATGTACTTAGCTATAATCTAGGGGATTAACAATATTTATTGTCCGCTTTCTTCTTTTGCTAATCCCCGGACATTTTCGGGGGAAACTAAAGGGATTCGCAGTGTGTTGGCCGCTACAGTTCGTTAATCGTAAGGATTAACTTAAATGCATCAGAATGTCGTTCGAGTGAGGTTTGGGAGAAGAATATAATATTTTTATGAACATAGATAAAATCTTCCCTTTTCTTGTTTTCTGATGTTAATAGAAGGAAAAGTTTTGTGTAGTTTATTCATTTATTTTTATGTCTCGCAGATGATTAAGACATCCAAGTGATCCTTATAGAGATTTAGATCTAAATCTAAATTACTTTCTGATTAAATACAAGACTTAGTCTATACTACCTATAATACAATTATTATAAAGCTGAAGAGTTTGTTTGTTTGGATGGGCTATTCTATGCAACTATTGGGTTCATTTGAGCAGCTCTTTTTTGTTGCATAGTAAACTTCTTGAAGAAAGCTATAAAACATTACGCTGTGCCTAGGAGAGCAGTGGGTGGCAACCTCGCGAAAGTAGATACCTATTTCATTATATTATATTCATTATTATACCTATCTTATAATAAATAAATAAATAAATTATAAGTGCGCATTGCAACTTGATAATTTTAAAAGAATTCCTTTTGACTACAATATATTATTATGTGTCTGTATAGACTTAAAAAATAAACCTTATTGGTTTTATTCCAAAGGATTTATTTATCTTCAATAAAAAGCTGCGGTAAAATTCAAGAACAATATATTTTATTGTAAGTTAGTTTACGGCTCCGTATAATCAAAATGTCGGTCTTAAAATCCGCTAGCACTTGTACTAAGTAAACCTTTACCAAATAAATCTAGATAAAGACGGAACGAGAACTAAATAGAGATGTGTTGTTTCACTTCGATATTCATCTAATGAGGGTTAATGGTATCGAAAGAGGCGTGTGATATGGGGTTCTTGATATTGGTATTAGTTAGTTTTTGACGGTGATTGGACTGACAAAGCCTATTGCTTTACTGGCGCCACAAAAACAAACTCTCGTTGATTACACAAAGTTTTTTTTCAGAGAAAATTAATTAACTCATCTCTCCCGCCCCGGGAGAGGCGAAACGAAGTGTCAGACTTTTACTGACTAAAAAACCCCCCGTTCCTTCTCCTGCTCTAGGCCGATGTCGATGCCTCATTGCTCTTACCCCGCAACCCCGGCTAAACATCAGCCCTATAAGGCTCTGTCTGTGGTGGTCTATTGGATCTACGAGGCACGGCCGGAATGCTATGCCGTACGCTCGGGCTTGGTTCTGATTGGGCGGCGACCTCCCCTACTCGGTAACCTTACTCACACACGGTAAATTACAAGGCTGTGGCTGTTTCACGCCGGTTTTCCGTGAGGCCGTGTTAACAGTCCGGTCGAGCCAAAGCTTGTATCTCGCACACTAAAAAGCAAGATTAGGAACACGTGTAGATAAATAAGTTTTAAAGTTTTTTTACTTCACATTAATTTATAACTTCGTTCTAAATTTTTAAAAAGAATTTTCAATATTTCCTTAACAGAATTAAATACTTTGTCTTCTAATATCTTACATTGTGTTTGTATTACGTAAAAATATAATTTCGTACTAAAAATTCCGTCAGCATAAAAGTTTCAATAGGCTTGAAGGTGATAAAATATATAGGTATATTTATATATTCTCACCTCAGAGATGTCCGCCCTGAATGGAGGGCGCAAAGAAAGGTTTCTCATCCAAGGCGCCATGAAACTGCTGTTTATTTATTCAAAAGCCTTAATATT